ATTAGGAATCAGAGTCTGCTCGACACGGGAAGTTGACTTCACTTTCTGCGTCGAACTGACTCTAATTCCCAATTTGTAGTATTTAATTAATTAACCTCTTGCACTATTAATCCTCGCATTAATAGTGCAAGAGGTTGCATTATTAATCCTCTCGTAATGCTACATTTTTTAATGCAATTTTAAAGTTGCAATACGATCTCAATGTTGGTTTTTATTAGCCCTTGATCTATCGTATATTATAATTATACTGCGAAAGCTGTTTTTGAGATAAAAGAAAAGCACACTTTTGCATAAAGGCATAATGCACAACGCATAAGGAAATGAACTGATCAGTCATTCATTTCAAACGTGGCGGTAGAAATGAGGATTCTGATTGGTTCCTTTCCTTATCGTGTATTATGCCTTTATGTAAGAGTGTGTGCTTCCTTCTTAATGACCGATCGACGACTCGTTTCCTGCTAGGCAGTTATTCTAAAAGAGTATATTCTTAATTTTAGTATATATTCTAGACACATCGATAAAAAGAAGAAAATACTCTTACAGATTAAGAATATTTGTTAAGGAAGCTTAAAAAGTATAAAATTTTCTTATATTAAAAGTACAATTTTTTCGGTGTATGAAACCGTTAACGCGGTTTAAAGATCGGCGGTGAGTCCGTAACCGAACGCGAGGACGACGAGGACGAGGACGAGGACGAGGACAATGAGAGACAATCGCTTCGCGGAAGGGTGTAAAAAGAAAGTTTGCGGTCGTTTGTGAATTTATGTTTCCGCAAAGAGACCTCTCGCTCACGTTCGTGTATGCCGCGGCGGGAAAATTCCGCGACTTGAATATCGAAATGTGTGTGTTCCTTTCCTCGAGATGTGTGTATGTGTGTGTGTGTGTGTGTACGTGTGTATGTGTGTGTTACGCGGTGTTACAACGCGGAGAAGTCGTAAATCCTCGTTAAGGGCGCAGCCCACGCATGGCTAAATATTACCGGCAACTTTGAGAGAAATTGCCGCGGACGTTACACGGACACGCTCCCACCGGATATGGCCGTATTCCGCGGTGGAGCAACGAGCCGCAATTTACAGATTTTCGCTAATAAATATCATTAATAACACCGTGTACGTTTGCGCGGCAGCGTCGAGCAAATCGGCGGAGACGATCGAGGTCGCGTGTCCGCGGCGTCAGCCCAGATGGATCTACGAGCAATTCCCCGGGTTACGTTACCGGCGTGACTCGCGTGTGCCCGGAAAAATCCCGGCCGTGCTTCCCGGGAAATAATTTCCGCGACCGCGCGCGAAGCCCGACCTGCAGGTTTCCAAGCGACGACCGCGCGTCAACACCGTCGCGGCTGATTTCGTCGTGTCACTCGCCGCCGCCGCCGCTGCATATTTACGTCGAATCTGTGATTGGGCGTCGTAGAAAATCGCTCCGGAGCGCACGAGCTCGAGGAACGCGCGAGGAACCGTGCCGGCGGCCGACGGGACCGACGACTTCCGCCGTGTCCAATCGCTCTCTCTCTCTCTCTCTCTCTCTCTCTCTCTCTCTCTCTCTCTCTCGTGTCGCTATCGAAAGTGCACGTCGACCCGCCGTAACGCCCCCCGCGCAGCAGCGCGGCCATTAATCATCCTCGGTCTCTCAGTCGGACGCTGTCATTGCGTCATTTATCAAGATTCGTTGGATCACGGTAGTCTCGTGACACTCGGAGTTTCACCGGACAGCCCGCGACGAAGGCCGACTCGGCGGGGCAGGCTCGGGCGTCGCGACGCGCAAATAGGGTAAGACGACAACAACGTTGTGATCGCCCGGGAGGGCGGAGGGACAGCAGGACGGCTGGGTGTCGTGCACGAGTGAGCACGCGGCGTGTGCCGCGCGCTCGTCGCGCATCCGGTCGTGCAATGTGGCGACATGCGCGCACGCTGGCTGCCAATAATAAGGGCTCGAATAATGGCTCCGTGCGCGCTGCAACGCGGGCGCAACGCGGAGAGCCGGAGAGCGGCAAGAGAGTCGACGGGGGGAGACAAAGAGTCGCTGCGAGAGAGTTGCTGCGAGGAGCGCTTCTGATGATGAAAAGTGACGCCGCTGATTGGGCTGCCGTCGTCGTCGCGACGTCGGGCTGAGCGGCGTGTTGCTTGTGCGCGGGGTGGCTTCTCGCGCTCACGTTGGGAAATGAGTAGCCGGGTGACAGCTCCGACGAGGACGCTTCACCGAGCGACTCGATACCGAACGTTGAAGGGCGGAAGCAGCCGGGCTTCGCGACGGAGGAAATTTTCGCTCCGGCTCGGCCTCTGGAGCGACTGTCCACTTCGGACGGGACTCCGGGGACTCCGCAATTGCGCCGGCACGTCGAATCGGGAAAATCGCGATTACGATGCCGGCGGAACGGCCGGAGCGCGTCCGTTTGATTGAAAAGTTATTATTACGCCGCGATCGATACGATTGCGCCGGGTTTCGCCGGGCGTTATTCTAGATCAATAGTTCTGACCCTTCTTTTATTGATGCCACCCTAAATACGTGACTCGTAACGCGCGGCTGCCTCCATCCTTCGCCCTCCCCACCCCCTCCGTCCTATCTTCCTACCCGTATTCCCTCTTGGCTCAATTTCGTGTTAGCACAGCGGCCTTTCCTTAAACAAACAAACTGGAAACATGACTTCGATTTCCGAAGGAGACACCTCCGTCGGCAAACTTTCGCCGGGGAAATCTGTCGTATATTTCGCGCGGCGTTTTTTTCTCTTTCGAATATTGTTACAGCGGCAAGAGAAGAGAATAGAATATATATATATATATATATCTTCGATAAAATGCGAGGGAGACCTCCGAGGTCGACCCTCCGAGGTCGACCCTCCGAACGACTGTTCGCTTCGAGTCGAGGGATGTTCTTCGACCGCGCGCTCGCCGCGCAGCGCGCGGAGACAAAGGCGGAGCGTATTCCGCGCGCGCGGTATTCCGTACGAAACCGAAAGCTACGAAAATAGACGCGCAATCCGCTCGCATGCCGCGCGAGCTCCCGTGTCCATTTCGTCGGACATCCAGCACGAGATTACGACATTTAGGATGCCGGGCGTTCGCAGCGCGCCGCGATGAATTTTAGGTATGTCCAGATGTCGTAGGAAGTAAGGTCACGTTCCGGGAGCCGCGGTCGGCGTTGCGGCGTTTGCGTCTTAAGGGTTAGACCGCCGCTGCCGGGGAAGAATCGAGAGACCTCCTTCTCCGCTGCCGCCGCGCCGCGCCGCGCCGCGCCGCGATGATGATGCGCCGACGAGTGGAATTGCTCGGCGGCCGCGTTTCTCTCTCTCTCTCTCTCTCTCTCTCGCAATTCGCGCATCTTCCGCCTCACTAACGTGCGGGGTCTCTGCTCGGTTTCGATTTCTTACCGCGGCCAGATGCTTCACCGCCCACGACAAAGTGTGCAAGCAATGCTCGGCTCGGGCTCGGCGGTTGAACAAAAAGAAGCGGGAAAAAGGATGAATATGCAACGCTGATTAACTTTAAAACGTCGTTAAACGCCACCGTTGCGAGCGGAGCGCCGGCTACGGCGTTGTCCCTCTCTTCGCTACCCCCTCGGACCGTTTCCCCGCGCTTGCCTCCCTGTCTGCCGGCAAGAGACATCTTGCCTCCCCACTCACGTATCACCCGGAAGATTGCTATATACGTCACATACGTTTTATTACGGAGGTCTCTTTCCGAATAAAGACGGCAGCATAAAGTGCATTGTCCGCCGTAGCCTTTCTGCGCTCGCAGACTCGCAACAATGCCGCTCGCATGTATATTCGAAAATGGCCTTTAATTTACACACAGGCGACTCATTACGTTCCATAAGTTAGCGCCGGAAGCGGAGTGTGCAAATTCTGGCTGGAACTCGGCCGTCCGAGCGGCGGGATGGAAGTGAGCGACAAAAGGATTACGGCGGACAAACAGCGGACGAGAAAAGCGAGAAAAAGAAAGAGGAAAATGAGGATACCGCTCGTGACCGCGAGATACCGCCAAAACCCCATCGGTTCGCCAAAGCACGATTTATCACATCCTCGTGTTTCCTCTTCCTCCCCCCCCCCCCGCTCCCCTCTCCCGGCCTTCGAGAGAACGCCAGTGACAAGACAGCGGGATAACAAAAGATATCGCGCGCGCGAAACCCGATAGAGAATCGGATCCTCTTCCTAGTCCCTGCGCTACCTAAAACTTCCCTCTTCCTCCCTAACCCCTCCACCCATCCTTCTCGCGGTCCTCTTTCTCTTTCTCTTCTCGCGCATGTGATACATTATAAGAAATCTCCTCCTATCTGGCGAGCTTCGCCCGTCAAGAATCCGCAAACCACCGAATCCGAGGGAGACGATCGCCACCACACCCCCCGCCGGCAGCGTCGCCGCGCACACACAACGACTCGGCAACCACCCTCGACCTCGCTACTCGTCGCGTTATCTTCATTCTCGATCGTGGATGTCGGCGTCGGGGGTGACGCGCGCGAGGGTAACTTTAACGGCACGCAGACACTACGTACACGACCGAAGCGTGGCTCGTGCGCGCGCGCGCACCCCACAACCCCAAGGGGTGACGACGCTGCTGCGCGACGCTCCTCATGGCGGCGGCAGCGGCGTCGGCGGCGGCGACGGCGGCGCGGCGGCGGCGGCGGCTATAGTGGTGGTACCGTCTACGTCGAAGGGCGAGGGAGGGCAAGCCGACGAGGACAAAGGGGGTACAGCGGGGTTAGCGGGACCATCGGTCGACCGTCCGCGCGCATCGATGGTGGGAGAGCGCGACGAGAAGTGGGGAGTTCGCACGTAGACCGGAACGGCCCCACCAAGTTTTATCCAACGATCCGGGAGGCTCGTCGAGGTAGTGGTCCGCGCCCCACAGCCGCGACAGCTACGAAGCGCGCGTGTTGCGTCTCTCGAGCTCGCCTCGTTTCGGAATTGCGCGAGAGGGAGCGAGAGTCATACAGTAGCGAGAGAGAGAGAGAGAGAGAGAGAGAGAGAGAGAGAGAGAGAGAGAGAGAGAGAGAGAGAGAGAGAGAGAGTGAGAGAGAGAGTGAGAGAGAGAGAGAGAGGAGCCCGGAGGAGAGAAGCGTCCTGCCGCGGCGTTGCTCCGCCGTATCTCTTACGCGAAAGCAGGCGCGATCGCGCGCGTACCGAAACTCACCCCCTTCGTCTCGGAGGGCGCCACCCTAGCGGAGGGTGCTCGGCGCGGCGGCGTTCCGCGTCTCGGCCGATATCCGGACGAGTGTGCTCTGGCCACGGAAGTAGCAGCCGCGCGCGACGGAGAAGTGCACGCCCGGACTCGGCGTTTCCTTCGACCTGGAGTAGCTGTCGTGTTGCAGTTTTTTGTGAGCCGCGCGCCGATCATTATCCGGGTCGCGTCGGTATACGTTCCGCGAGGAGCGGTGCGCCGCGGTTTCCGTTGGGACAACTGCGGGTGAAAGTGTACCCGCGAGTACAAGTGTCAAAGAGAGAGAGAGAGAGAGAGAGAGGGAGGGAGTGAGGAAGAGAGAGAGAGAGAGAGAGAGAGAGAGCGAGAGAGAGAGAGGGAGAGACCTGTCAGTTTCATGGGACGACGTATCGCAGTTCCGGTATCGCCAACTACCAGCAGCACCGGTTCCGGTGAGCGCGGTTAGCCTGGTGTAATTCGACGAGGGAGCGAGAGAGCGAGCGAGCGAGTCCCGTCACGCTGACACGCCGCTCGAATTTCGCGGTCACTTGGCCGATCCGGATACGTCGCGTCGGCTGGCTGCTGAGCGCGAGCCTGTTTCGCTGCTGCCTGCTGGGGTGCTTCGAAGGTGCTGAAGATTGTAGATACCGGGGAGTGTCGCAGGTGCGAAGGTACTCAGCTCGTCAGCCGGGGGTGGCAATTGTGCTGGTGGTGTGTCCTCGCACTCCTGCGCAACGCTTGGAGCACCGAGTGTCCTGGGGAGGAGCCGTTCTCTCTCCGTGTGGGGCGCATTAGCACCTGGCTCTCTCGCGTACGTATGAAATTCGTGTTTCACCTGACTCGGGCGCGCGGATCTCCAGTGCGGCGGTGCCGTGCTATGGCCTCTCTCCTTAGGTTCTCTCCTACACCCCCAAACAGGTTATTGATTTTGCCGAAGTAAGGAGGTACGGATGTAGAGCCCGCACGCCCTGCGGCCTGCGACCTGCTCTCTCTTTCACCCTTGTCCTCTCCCGTCTTCTCCCTCTCCCTGACTACGTCGCTTTTTCCCTCTCGCTCTCGCTCGCATCATCTCTCCATCGAATCCGTCTGTCCGACTGACCGTCTGTCTGTCTGTCTGTCTGTCTGTCTGTCTGTCTGTCTGTCTGTCTGTCTGTCTGCCTGCCTGTCTGTCGCAGTCTGTCGTTATACCGCACGAGCTGTCCTTGATCCTGCGTATCCTCGACGGCGGGTCCGGTGACTTTACGCGATCCAGCCGGAAGCGATCCAGACTCGCGAAAATGCGTTTGTATGTGTGCGTTGTGTTGCGTAGACGATACACGTCGTGCACCTCTACGCTGTATCCGATACACACACACACACACACACACACACACGTTCGATCCTCGCTTCTCGCGCGCGCAGGGATGATCGGGAAGAGGGCAGTGTAGTACATTCCAAGTGAGTCCTACTGCCGCGTGTCGTGAGTTGCACCCTCGAGGAACGCGCGTTATCGGGCTGCACCTTAAGCGAGTCGAGCTCGCTTAAGTCGCCGATCGCCGGCCACATGTACAGAGATAAGAGACGAGGTTCACGCCGGCCGGTGTTAACGCGATCAACACGCTGCCGCGATTGATGTGGTTGGCTGCACACATTTGTCTGGGCCCAAGCGTGCTGCTACGTCGTCCTGTGATGACTCCTGTCCTGGAGAGGTCCTCCTCTTCTTCATCCACACCTAATCACGTCGCGACGGTCGACCGTCCCAAGATTTTCCACATCAACTAGTGTCTCGGCCAGTCCCATGTACTTTCGCCACCGCTTACCACGAGCCGAACAAAGAGTTCTTGCATGACGAATTGCTCGATAATTGTTCGTTTCGAGATTAAGAAGCATCGCGAAACGGCATTCTTCGAGACATTCTTCGAGGCAGCCGCGCCGCCGGTGTTATCGATCACGTCGATTGCAATTTCAACGAGACCTTCAATCTCGCATCGACGAGCGAACCTGCTCTGGACCGCGCACACTCGCTGTTTCTTCCGAAAGTATTCAATCTTGCGTCAACTGACGTTGATCAACGCGAAAGCTCCTCGCATGTATCATCGATAGACCGCGCGACGGTGCATACGCGCTTATGTGCGGCGTCGGTGGAACGATAAAATTTCAACGTATGAATTATTCCCAGCGACGCTGCTCGGGAGTATACGCGGTGCATATGCTCTGTTGGCGACCGTACTTGATTAAACATGCATTTATACGTGTCAGAGAGGATTAGAAGTGAGAAGGCGGCCACGCGTACATGTGCGATGTGTAGAACGGGAAATAATGGCGGATGCGTACTGCCTCGTAACTACAGCTCTTTTCGCCTTTCGCCGTTTTCAATTTCACGGCAATCTCACTCGAGTCTCTGCCGTGTCTCGCGCCGCGACTGAAATGACGCGATCTCGAATTCGCTGCCATTTCTTCACGAGTGGCTGATCTCGCGCGAACGAATTCTTCATTCTCGCGCGGCGACTCTTCAGAGGATTTGTCAGTCTTTCTTCCTCCAGGGAGAATCGACCGAGCGATTTTTGTTACTCAACCCACCGCTCGGATAGCGGAAAACGTTACTTCGACATTCGACCTAGTATGGAGATTCATTCGATAAATAATTATCAGATTCAGCAAATTACCGCATTGAGACACATAGGTCTAGGTCAGATGACAAAAGAACTCGAGGAACTCGTAAAATTGCTCGTCATCGTTTTGCCGAATATTTCATCTTGCTGCTTCAACGCCAGCGATCTCCGTGCAATATCGATCGCAGGGAAAAGCGCGCTTTTACGGATTTTTCGCGGAGCGAGTACGTGGTTGGCGCTACGGCGCTCGTGTCTGCAGCAACGCCGTGTCAATGAACCTCCGTGACACATTGTCGCGAGAAGCAGCATGACCGTATACTTCAGACAGTGGTTACGGGCAGATTCCAACTGACGGCGGATCGATCGGCCGAGGAGAACTTTTCACGGCGGACAGTCGTGTGGCAGCGACGTCGGCGGCGGCGGAGGCGGCGATGGCGGCGGCGGCGGCGGCGGCGGCGGCGGCGGCGGTGTGGTCTTTCGCGAAACCGGCGGGCTCGTAGTAAATCAATAGAAGCCACGTGAACCCGCGACGGACGATCGTTCCGTCACGCTCCGTCCGTGGAAGCGCGACCTCGTGAATTCGGCGAGCGAGCAGATCGATAATAATTCGGCGGCTGAGGGCCGCCTCCGAGAAGGATTTGACCTTTTGAACTCCCGATAGTTTCTCCGCCCGACGATCGTTCCTCATCGCGCTGGTCGTTTCGTGCTCGACTCCCGTGTCGATTGCGACACGGAGTGTCCGTCTGTTTGAGACACGAGGCTTTCGTTAGCCGAGGAGTACAGCCTGATTCTCTCAATAATCCACGACGTAGTTAATTTCCAGTCGTTGACTGCGTCCGCGCGATTCACGATGTCTCTCGCTCGTTTTTCTTAATTTATATTCGCTTTCACGTCGCGCGCGTATCCGTTGTTATTTTTCCCCGGTTGAGGTTTCCTCACGGACGAGGAACTTCGACCGCCGGACTATCTGCGGAAGTATCTTTATCTCACTTCGGTAACATTGTGTGGTTAGATTTAGATTTAGTGTGGTTAGATAAAACGTGACGATGCGTGACACAATATTCGACAGCGTCGCGGAACGCTTTATGGATTATACAACAGGCGTGCTCGACTCGCGAATCTTAATCCCTTTCTCTCTCTCTCTCTCTCTCTCTCTCTTTCTTTTCTCTCTCTCTCTCTCTCTCTCTCTCTCTCTCTCTCTCTCTACAGATACGTTGCTAATTATTCATACAGAGGAACCGTTTAATAAACATCTCGTATCGATTCTACTCGTACTTGGCGAGCATTGCGAAATCAACGTATATTTAACGCGTCTTCTACTTTTCCTTCTTTTTGTATCACTCACACAACGTAATCGTTGAAACAACGAGTGACCTATTTATGCCCATAAACCAAGAGCACGCTAAATACTGTTGCTGAATAAAGAATAGACTTCACCGGACACTTCGTGTTACGGCTAATGAAAGCCGTCGAGCGATGGATGCTCGTAATATCAAAAAAGGAACGATCATAGAAGAGAAAAAAGAGACGGAGGCGAAGTCGTTTAGATGTCTCCGACCAAGTGTCCACGGCGGGGAGGATCCTTGATGGAAATAGGAGCAGCACGTAGGCGTGTCTGACTTGCAACATCCGGCAGAAATATTGCAACTATTTCTGAAATTATTTGGCACACTTCGATACACACCTGCGACGTTCGCGGCGCACGGGTGTGCGCGGGTATGTTCCTTTCTCTCTCTCTCTCTCTTTCTCACTAATATATAAAATCGCTTTGTAAGAAGGAAAAAATTTACCCATGAATTCGCGAGCAACGGCAGATCATATCGAGGGAGGAGGGAAAAGAAGAGAGGAAAGAATGGCGCACGCTCGTGTTCCTTTCATCGACCGTTCAAAGGTTTCCGCGTACGCCTCGCGAAACTTTTCAATGAAAATATACGCTTTATCAGAGACGAGACGGAAACATTCAGCCGATGTTTTTGATATTACCTCCGTATGAACGTTATATATATATATATATGTGTGTGTGTGTGCGTGTGTACATACACATACACACGTGTATGTGTATATCTCCTAGCTCGAAATGTTTGCTTTAATGACAGCACAGGTAAACGCGTGCACGGTGTTTCGAGTTAATCCTGAAATTGGAGTGATTCGTATAATTTCCTCGCTTTTGAATGCCCCGCGAAATAGGATTTATCTCTAATTCCTGGGCGCTCCGGGGCGCGAGGCGGCGGAGAACGGTCAATAGTCTCGAGGTATGGCATCGCGACCGCAGTAACTATATTCCTGGGTGCGCAATTTAATTGCTTTCGTGGCATCGCATCACGAGATTTCGTGTCCGTTTTTCTCCCCCCTCCCTCTCTCTCTCTCTCGCGTCGCGATGGAATCCGACCGTCGAGCGTTCGAGCGAAAGCGACAATAATCTAGAGAGACGGCGACGCGATATCGCGACGATGATGACTGCCGGTGATGACCGCACGGGTCGTGCTGTCGGAGCGTCGTTTAATTGCTTTCGTCCCATCGAACCGCCGCTGTTGTTTTTCAACTCGTCCAAGTCGCTCGTGAAGCGGCTTTATCAATACGGGCCGAGAGAGTGCCCGGTAGTGAAAATGTCAATAATATCGAGCCAGGACGACATGACACCGCGGACAGGAAATAAAAGCGAAGTTTCATCGTCGGGGTCATCGGGAGAGATGATAAATACGAGAGCACCGAGATAAGATAATGCTTCTTACAGAGTGAGAAATTTATTCACACGTTCCGTGTCCGAGCATTATCGCGTTTTTGTTTCACGGAGGTCGCGAAAGAGTTCAGGTTCAGATAATGCCGGTTATTGCGGAGTCGCAGCGGGAGCCGAGCTTCTCAAGACGTCTGCGAGCAAACAACGTGATTCTGCGTGACGACGATTTTCTTGCATCTTGCAGCTCTAATGAATATCTAATCGAGCGCACTCACTAAGCCCTGAAGCGAGCGCCACGATCACGCGACCCGGGAACTTTGCGTTTTCGGCTCGGTAATCCGTCCGGCCGACAAAGCGCGCAATAAAGTCTATCGCCAAACTATCGATAACCCCCTCCCCCCTACTCCCTCCCGCCTCTGTAAAAACACAATTCCACGCACGCGGGCGCGACTGTCACATTGTGAAACGCGCACCGTCTGTGGTACGCGCAACGTGGTATCGTCGATCATACGATCGACATAAAAATATCGGGTGCGCCGATAC